CCCCAAAACCCCAAAACCCCAAAACCCCAAAACCCCATTATATAAAGATTGAATGAATCGGAAAAACTTAAAGAGTTTTATTAATAAACTTATATTTTAATTGATAAGTTTTTATAGCTCTTACAGTAGTTAATTTCAGTAATAATAATTTTGCTGCAAATTATTATTAGCCATAAACTGGCTACCCTAATTTCTAAATAGCTATTCAGTTGAAGGTCTACTCGTTAAATATGCCATCTAGTTTATCTGGACACCTTAATTGACTTGGGTTAGATTTAAATTTAAAGGTATATTTAGACTTGGATTTCCAATGACATGTTATTGCTGTATTTGCTGCCTATTGCTTTAAGCTAAAAAGTTTTTATTAAAAGGCATATTTTGTTATCCGTTATAACTTTGATCCATTTTCAAACCCTGTCCAACACTTCCTTCGTTGATACGAAGGAAATTAGGCTAAAGTTATTGACTCTAAGACTAGCCTTAATTTTAAGAAATATTTTGCTGTTATGGCATCTATATTAGCAGATTCTTTGGGTTTCTATTATTTTTGTATAAGTTATCATCCTCGTCATCACTTGAATTAACATCCATTTTGATGTTCTGCTACTTGCAAAAATCTTCTTCATCATAGCTATCAAAATCATCATCATCTTCTTCCTATTCTTTTTCCTATTTTTACTGTTAAAAGAACTTTGACTTCATGTTCGACTTCTGTTAGTACTTTGTCTGTTTTAACCCACTGGCAAAGCTTCGTATAGATGAGGCATCGCTCTAATTATAGTTAGAATTAGATGCAACAGATGATATACCCAAGGACATTTCATGATTGTTTACTTGATAATTGACATCCCCAATTTCAGAATTCTATTCACTCATATTCATAGAATTTTTTGAGGAAAAATCTGTCGTTCCTCCTCCTGTAATATGTAAGAATCCAAGAGATTTACTTGATAAATGAGCTTTCTAAGGATACTGCTACAACGTATTTGCACTCAAATGCGGTTATGGCAAGTTAATTGCTATTGAGTTTTCTTGAACATTATTTAGAGTATTTTGTTGCACGCTCATTTGAGAAACAGTGGCTGTAGAGTTTCTTCTCTAGATGTTGTTGAGTGAGTTCATTAAGTCATATAGTTTAATACTTTATTCAGTTAGAGGTTAAGCTACAGTAGTTTGATAATGCTGTGACCCAAAACTTTGCTGCAATGAATTTTAAAGTGGCTGATTAGGAACAGAATAATTAGTGCTCATTGGTTGGCAAAAATATCTTTAATTGGAATGATTCTGTAATTAAGGCTATATAAAAGCATAGTTTTGGGGTTGCTATTAATTCTAAGACTGAATCTGAGTCTAAAATTAATTCATAGACATATTGATAGGCTATGGCTACACTGAACCAAGTTAGAAGTAACTATTGTTAAGTGAGCCATTTGTTGAATGCCCAATTAGGCATTGTTACTAAATATTGGGGTTTATCTAGCTGAAATTTTGGAAATTAGGAAGTTTTGACTGTTAATTTTATTGTATTAATTAGTTTTATGAATTTATTAAGCCATTAGACTGTAGAGTTTAGGGGTTTGGAGATTATGATCTGCCAAACCCGATCAATTGATCTTACTATATTTTTATGACGCTTGGATGAAGACTCGGAGAGTTACAAGCTGTAGTATTATACTGAGTATTAATCATGATTTATTGTTGTCTTGGTTCTGAATTATACCTGATGTTTTGATTATTCTGATTTCTCAGATTATTAATGTAGGGTGCTTAATTAATAATGGATGATATTTGAGGGAGACTTTACTATGAGACTGAGTTGCTTGTATTAATTGTTTAATTGCTAGAAAGGCTTTAGTTTAGTGATTAACTTATGTACTACTTGTTAAAGACTTCATTTAGCTTGGATTAGTTATATTCTTGCTAGAGTAACGATGTCTTTTCAGATAATATACTGTTCCCAAATTACTCTGATTCGATTAGAAATTTTTAAAACTCCAACTCATTATTTTCATCAAATTCTATTAGCGGCTGAGATTCATTAAGTTTCTCTTAAGTTTACTTATATTCCTCTTTAGTAATATAGAAAATTGGTCTAACTACTGATGTTGTGGCTAGCTAATCTTTAATTTAAGGTGAACTCCCGGATTTAACTTATTGTGAGTTATCATCTGAATTTTTTGTGGCAAGGTACATCTTTCTCAAATAAATATTCATGGTCTCGATCGAAATCCCACTCTCTTTCAGTTTTTTAATTAGGTACTAATCATTAGAGCCCATTTCATTTTAGGCTTGATCATCTTAAGTTAGAAATTATTCTAATGCATTTAACTATAACCCTCCAGAGCTAAAATGGTAATGATTATTATAATTTGAAATACTTTAGAGAGATAAGATTTTTCAGGTATTTAATAAGATATGAGGTATGGCTTCTTAGTTGCTGATCAAACTCTAAATCTAGATTAAAGAATCAAGAAATTACTTATCTCTTAAGGCATTTCATCCTTCTAGATTCTACTTATTAATTTCCTCAAAGTACAGTAGAAGTGATTCTTAATTGCGTTATCAGTCCTGAAAAATTAAATTAGACGTCAATCATTACCTCCCAGGTATCATTTTAGCAATCTCTGCCCACTTGTTACCATGTATTTTATGTGCTTAAATAAACACAAATTCCTCTGTTTCATTCCAAGGGCTTTTTCGAACCATTGGATCCAAATGATTATGCCATCTACAATATTAGCTTAACAATGATGTTATATTTACCTCTCCCTACATTATTTTCCATTTCTTCTTGAATTAAAAATTCGAGATTTTAAGCAGTCCGCAATATAAGTCCATTTCTTAGTACCGTGCTATCGCACTAGATCAACTATCAGATTGTCTTCCTATAGAAAATATAATTAAATCATTGAAAACAGCCAGATACGGTTTACCTCAATTCGCCAAGGTTAGCGTTCTTCCTTTTATGATTGCATGAAGTTATGTTATTTACGTTATTTTAATATAAACTTTCAATATAAAGATGTATTATAAGTAAAGTAAACGCTTCTATCTGGCAACTTGGGGTTTTGGGGTTTTGGGGTTTTGGGG